CGAAAATAAAGAAGATAAAGAACACCAAATTTTAACATGGAAAATCTTTCAAATCAAAGGTAAAAATTACGGGATCACAAAGATCCAAAACGCTCTACTATAATAATAAGAGAGTTACAAAAGGTCTCCAAATTGGCTACACAACAAGTGCCAAACACGGAGAAATAATAGCAACAAGAGCAACAACAAATTAATTGAAGAAAAAGGAGAAGCCACAAAAATGGAGTTATTATTCGAGGTTCGATATTGGATGCTACGAGCTCTAAATCCGATCTCTGTCCAAATCAAAGACCAAGATGTTACGAACATTCAGTCAAAATTTCAGCTCGATCCAACGGTTAACGAATCGAAAAATATGGTTTGAAGTTGGCTGGTCGGAACAAAAATCTGCAGCAAAACAAACACTTTTTCTTCTCTCTTCTCTCTTGATGAAAACCTTATCAAAAATCACTCTTATATGCTAAAGTTTTTCAAAGACTTATACCAATGAGTATATAACAATTCTTCAAGGTTGTACTATTCATAGATAATGAGTCGTACTTTCTCTTAAAGTCAAAACCAACTCAAAATAGGAATAAAAACTCAATCCAATTCCGAACAGGAATGGAAACCAAAAGAGAATGGTATTAGGCCATTGGGCCTTTAGATGGACAACATGGGCATTGTCCCAACAAACTCCCCCTCCAGCCAAGGGGCCAAATATGTCTTCAAGTAGAGGAACTATTGACATGCTTCATGCTTGCCAATTTTCTATCTGCAAGCTTAACTACGAAATCCTCATGCTGCTCCATATAAATCTTCTCATCTAAATAACCACGAAGAAAAATAGTCTTTACATCCATCTGCTCAACCTCTAAATATAGACTCGCGGCTAAGCCTAGAACCACACGAATAGAAGATATTTTCACAACATGGGAGAAAATTTCATCAAAGTCAACTCCTTTCTTCTGGCCAAAACCTTTAACGACTAGCCTCACCTTGTATCTAGGTGCAGAGATATGGTTATCTTGCTTTACTCTGAATATCTATATGTTTGATAAAGTTCTCCTACCTTTCGGCAATTGCACTAGCTCATATGTGCCATTCTGATGGAGTGACTTCATCTTATCTTCCATGGCTTCAATCCACTAATTTTTGTGAGTATCTTACATGGCTTCATCATAACTCTCAGGTTCTCCCATGTCAGTCAAAAGTACATACTCATCAGGAGGATAGTGCATGGATTTTTGTTTCTCCCTTATAGATCTTCTAAGAGAGGTTTCAGGAGCATTCGAAGTAGTTAAATGGGTAGGAACTGGTTGCTGATCAACCACAACTTCATCAACTTGAGCATCCATAAAATCTACACCGTGAAGATCATTTTGATCTTGATCACTATCTTCATTATTGTCCTGGGTTCCTTCATGTGCAATAGGTGCCTCGTTACTCTGAGAATCTATCTTCTCAACTTTGTCAATATCTTCAATAGTCTGATCTTCAAAGAATATTGCATCGTGACTTCTAATAAGTTTATTGTCAGTTGGATCATAAAAACGATACCCAAACTCATCTTGACCATACCCTATAAAGATGCACTGCTTAGTTTTGACATCCAATTTCGATATCTTATCTTTAGGAACACGCACACAAGCTTTACACCCAAAAACTCTCAGATGATCATAAAAAATATCTTTGGCAAACCAAACTCTGTATGGGACATCACCATCCAAAGCAACAGCAAGAGACAAATTAATAACATAAGCAACAACATTAAGTGCTTTCGCCCAAAATGTATGTGGAAGTTTAGCCTCTGAAAGCAAGCATCTAACTCTTTCAACTAGAGTTCTATTCATACTCTCTACCAAACCATTCAATTGAGGCATCTTGGACGGAGTTTTCTGATAACGAATTCCTTATTCTTTGCTATAGTTATCAAAGGGACCACAATATTCACCACCATTGTCAGTGTGAATGCATTTTAATTTTTTCTCTGTTTCTCTTGCAGCTAAGGCCTGAAATTCCTTAAATACGCCAAGTGCTTGATCTTTGGATTTCAAAGGATACACCCAGAGCTTGCGAGAATGTTCATCAATGAAGGTCACAAAGTAAAGTGCACCACTTTTTGAGAGAACAATCTCACAAAGAGACAAGTACAAGCGACTCACTATCACTTGTCCCGAAAAGTTCTTCCCCTAAACAAGACTCTCAAACCACTTATGGCTACATTGTGGATGCTGCTGAATGAGAAAGAAAGATCCTGAATTTACAGAAGCCCAAACCTTTTTCTCCAAAAAAAAGGACTAGCCAAATATGAAAGATTTATAATTTCTTTCTAAGAAAAGGAAAACTCAATTATGATAAACATATTGTCCTTTCCTTCAACAGATATGAAAATCAAATATGACGAGAAAATCAGGATAACGCCTAACAACTTCATCAGGTAAGTCCATTGAAAAAATAGTATAGCGAGTACTTCATAGCTTCCGATAGGTCAAGATATACTACCTCTTTTTGACATGTTTGTGGAAAATCCAATAAAATTAATAAAAACACTAAATTCAACAGCCACATTACTATTTGTCAATCACAATGAACGAGTATTGTTAGGTATTTTTTCTTTTTCATTTTCTCTCTTATTTTTCCTCACTAAAGGTGTGCACGACTTCTAGCTCAAAAATAATATACTCCTACTAGTAAACCCAATGGTAAGAATTCCAACATATTTCAGTACACGATTCATCATTGTGGTTACCAGTTGAATTTAACTAAACCCTTCTTTACTCCGTCGACGTGCAGAAGCAGAAATAATTTTTGAGAAACAGAAAAAGTAATTTTTTTTCAAAATTTATTTTTTGAAAAATACATTGAAAATCACTTTTTAAAAACTTGTCCAAACACTAATTGTTGTTTAAAAATATTTTTTAATTAATTAGCCAAACACAAACTTCTTTTTGCGAAAAATATATTTTCTAAAAGCATTTATGAAAAAAATATTTTTCAAAATAATTTTAGCCAAATATACTATTACTGAGCTTGTGTTGTCTATGTGCTTTTTGCCTAGGGATTTTTACATAAATGTACTACATTAGAAACTTATTTACCCTTACTGTTTAAATTTTAACTTAATTACAAATTGATATATAATTTACCAGTTATATACAAATAAGTTTTAAATGAGTATCCTTACTTGTTACCTTTTAACGTAGAAATCAAATTCCACAGATCTACCGCTTTCATAGATCTCTCTCCTCTCTCTCTCTTCACACTCCAGTCTCTTATACTAATCTGCATTCGGAAGTTTCCACACAAACGAGAAATTGTTAAGTTGTATAATTTGTTGTAATTGTTTCCAGAACCACTCATGTTTCAGCATCAATTTAGTAAATAAACTGTGTTTTTCCATACTGCAGAGCTACGTAATGATCACAAGATTATGACAGAAAGAATAGACATATTCAAGTTCTGCATTCAAGCTTCTACAGCTTCTTTTGTCAAAGACTCGGGTACATGATATGACATTGCTGGATCAGTAAAATTTTTTTAGCGCCTGTTATGTGTTATTGAAATGGTTATTGGTTTCACTTAAGTAATACTTGTTAGAACTCGAATGTTATGAAAATTTATAGTTCAAATGAGGCAAATTTATGTTTGTGATTTGTGAGAATCATTGGCTCGTTTTAATTTGCTTGTGATCACAACTGAATATTTTTGGATTGTAAGCTCGGATATAATAATTTTTTTTATTTTAAGGCACTAATAATGGATTGTACATGGAGAGAGGCGACAGAGAATAGGGAAAGAAGAGAGAAGAGAAAAAAAGGAAAAGGGTGTAACTAAATCCCCTAATTTAAGGCACTAATAATGATATATAAATTGTAAGAAAAATTTATTTAGGACGGGTAATATACAAAATTTGGATAATTTTGATAAATAAGTTTGGATACTTGCATAATATACAACCTCACACGACATGTTATTTGGTTGTATTTTTGTTGTTGGAATAAATAATATTTGAATAATTATACATAAAATGAATGTATATATTATTTTATACGAGAAGGTGAATAAGATTATATGGCTTAGCAATATACGTATTAAAATAACCAAAATAACCTTTATGTGTTAAATAGCTTTAAAAAAGTAAACAAAATGCCTATTTTAATCCATGCAATACAATTGATGCACTAGTAATCACTTATTACAATTCTTGTATTACTAATCCTTAAACTACAGTAACCTGCTGATTTGATACACGGTCAATAATTTTTGCATATAAAATTTATTTTTAAATTAATATCTCCTTTATTTTATTATGGGTTAGACTTTACCTTTTTAAGGATCAATATAATTCGCTTCATTTATCGAAGGGGCTCATATTTCATCAATATCCTTAATATATTTCACATTTTATAAGACCTCGTTGCAAGCCTGCAGTCTCAACAACTTCACCAATCACCATATATGGGTGGATGTCATATGAAATGTTAGCTATAGTTAAGTATATACACGACTATGACCCTTTTCTCAATCAAATCCTTGAGGGGTCGTTTGGTTCCAAAAAAGATTATTTAGGGATTAATAATTTTAGAATTATAATTCTAGGATTGTTATCCCATATCCACTATGGGTTGGACGATGCTGATATAAAACTTATATCCATATTAGTTAATACTCAATAACCAAACATCAAATAAATATTACAATTTTAAATTTTATTTCGTCTTTATAATCATAATCCCAATAACCAAACAACTTCTTAAGTACAAAAAGAGAAAATGTGTAAACGGTCAAATAAAAGGGGTTAAAAGGAAATAAAGCAAAATGAGGTAATAAATCAAATTAATATAGGAAAAATGATATTGTATAGCCACTTTCAAATTAATAAATAAAAAATATATATTTTTTTTATATATTTTATATGTTATATATAAAAATTATACAAATTTTATACACTTTTCGGTTATAAATAGTTGTGTAGCAGGCTAAAAGTATTAAAAAAAACCATAAATCTACACCGTGCGCTTTATAGCCCAAAAAACCCTAAAATAACGAGCTCTAACGACGAGTAACGAGTGCCGCACCAGGAGAGAACCCGGTAAGAAGCGGAGAAGAAGCTGATCGCCAATTTCATCAAACCCTAATTGATAATCCAGGTAATATCCAATGGATTCTTCCTCACCACACTGTTCTACTTTTAGGGTGCATTGTTGATCATCATTCCCTGAAAAGGGTCGAGACGGGAAGAAACCCTAGTTACGAATCTATTAAAAAAGCTCATCGGCTTCTGATATTTCTGTATTTCCTGGATTCCTTGTGTTGCGAATTGATCGTTTTCTTCGTGGCAAAATGGGTTCATACATTATCCCTAGAGTTTGTTTTGTTTTTGGTGTTATTTTTCAGCAGTTATTGGCTTTTGCTAGAAAAGCTCGAATTTTTGTTGGTCTTACCTCTTGAGGTAATGTTACTTGTTTTACGTAACAGTGAAGTTCTAATTTCAAATAGTAGCATATTTTCCCCTGCAGAGAGCTTCAACCGTAATATCACACTTGCTCCAAAGAGTGAGACTGTCAGGAAATAATTGGAATACTGGAATTGCAAGATGTCATGAAAAGAATTTTTTAACTTGTGTAATAAGAAAATTCTTGAACATCAGGGGTGTGTTTGGTATGGCAGAAAATCAAAATATTGTTTTCCTCAGTGAATTTATTCACTAACGTTTGGTTACCTTGATTTGTTGAAAAATTCTCCAGCAAAGGGTTAAAGTAACTATTAGTTAGTCATTTTCCTTTGAGGATATTCCAAACCTTTTTTTTTAAATGAAGTGCAAATATTCCGAATCTTACTATATGACTTGCTTCAGCCAACAATAAACATTTTTGTCAACTTTAGCTTTAAAAGATACCACCAAAGCACTGTCTTTCATCTTTTACGATTCCCATACATACTCTATTTTTAGACCCAACCAAATATTGGAGATGATTTAATTGTTGCCAAAGTGAATCCTTTTCCGCAGACAATATTTTAATCATATCCTATTCTTATCTTGGAAGTTGTCTCCAGAGTTCAAGCAATGTTTTACTTAGCACTGGTTACCTAGAAATCCTTTTTCGTGTCTTATCTTAGGGTTCAGGGAAATGACATCATTTGCAGGAAACTGGTTTTCTTTTAACTTAAATAGGAAACGATATATTGCATGTCTTGTAGGATGATTCTCAGGTCTTAAAAGTAAATTGAGAAAAGGTAAAATGCATAAGGTATATCGCGATCTTACCTCATCTTATGACACAAATGCTTTCTTTATGATAGATTTCAAGCGCTTGGACAAAAATGAGCTTTGGAATCATACCTAGGGATGTATTTGGGGAGTGGGACAAGTCAGGGTGGAGTTTATGGTTTTTATGTATAGTTGGAAGTTCTTCCTCACTCTCAGAAGAGCTATCATCTGCAATAGTTATTGAGTGGATGAGGAGATCAAATATTAATTCGAATAATTATTGCTTTGGAGCATCTTGGAGTATATGAGCGATGGAGCTTGTGGAGCTTAGCTTAACTGGGGGATTGCTCTCTTGGTTTCATTATTTTTCTGTTTGAATCTGTTATTTTGGAGCATCATGGAGCATTTAGGCAATGGAGCTTGTGGAGCACAGCTCAATTGGAGGATTGCTCTCTTGGTTTGCTTCATAATTTTTTTGCTTGAATCTGTTATTGTCAAGTCAAATACAGAATGATAGAAGTTTGCATTGTAATTGTTTTAATTATTTCTCATCAGTGTTAACTGGAAGTTCAATTGTTTATCAGTTACATCTTCGTGCAGTGTTGCAGCGAATTCTTCCTTCATTGCTGAGAATGAGTGGTCGTTTTTCACGCACGATTTATGTTGGCAACCTTCCAGCAGATATAAAGGAATGGGAAGTTGAAGATCTATTCTATAAGGTTGGTCATCTTCCACCTATTTAGACACTATCAGCTACAAAGACTTATTTTCTATTGGAGAATGTAGTCATCAATTGTACTTAACTCATAGGGCTCTAGACTCAACATTTGGTGCATAAATTATACTTGTTAAAAAAATACAATGGCCTTTGCTTGAGATTATATTGCACACGAATGCATGCTGAGATGTACGCTGAATTTCATTTTAGCAATGTCATCTGTATAAATGGATAAATTTTGATTTGCTTCTTGTTTGCAAAATTATGCAAGAGAAAGACTAAGTGAGTCTATTAAGCCATGGCAGTACCAGTACCCATATTAAGTTATGGTTGAAAACATAAATGGTGAGGATGCTTCTTCTTTGATATCCTACACTGCATCGTCCGTCTTTTCCTGTGTGAGGCTGAGTGCTTTCTTCCCTACTTGGTACTATAAGCTAGACATTAGTGGTCAATACCACCAGTATACTATTTACCCAATAGAGATTAAACAGTTTGGAGGCATTGATTTGGAAGCTATCAGTCTTGTCTTGGAAAGTAGAGCTGGTTTAGCATGTATTCTTGCTAACACTATATAAACTTAAAAAGCTGCTCCCTGATTTTAGATATTCTCTCTTTTGCAGTATGGTCGTATATTGGATATTGAGTTGAAGATTCCACCTCGCCCTCCTTGCTTTTCTTTTGTGGAGGTATTTTTATTTGGTATATATACATATATATGGTTTTGAGGGTTGACTTGCTGTTGTCAATTACTGCCTTTGTTTGCTGATTGTCTGTGATTTCCTTTCTGTTGTCTATTCTTTAGTTTGAAAGTTCTAGAGATGCAGAAGATGCCATCAGGGGTAGAGATGGTTACAACTTTGATGGCTGTCGGCTGAGGGTAAGAACAATTCTTACTTGGTTCTCTCATGTTCATAGATACAAAGACCTAGGTAGGAAATATGAGCATCCACGTGGTTGATACATGGTGTAGGTTGAGCTTGCTCATGGAGGAAGAGGGCCATCATCTTCAAGTGATCGTCGAGGAAGCTATGGCAGCAGTGGTGGTGGAGGGCGTTATGGTGTTTCTCGGCATTCTGATTACCGAGGTTCCGCTATAACTTGTTTGGATGTCTCGTGAAGTTTCCTGTCTTGAATGCTGTAGATGTAATTGTCCCTGATGATATAGATGCCTCTTAAACTTTTTCTTGTCATACATATACAGTTATTGTTCGAGGTCTTCCATCTTCTGCTTCTTGGCAAGATTTGAAGGTAAGTGAAATGGCTAAGATATTTGCTTATGATGGTTCATATGTGTAGCAATTGCAGTAACCTGCTGGAAATGTGTCAGGATCATATGCGGAAAGCTGGCGACGTGTGCTTTGCTGAAGTTTCTCGTGACAGTGAAGGTATGAGTTGACATATCTTGCAGGATCATTTTACGTGTGAATTTGCTCAATGCTCAAGAATCCCGGAATCCTGGTGAAGAAACTGCATGAATGCGACTGTGTTCTCCAAGGCAAAAAAGATTAGAAAAAGTGCCAAAGTTTACTGAGGATTTAAGTGCAACTAAAGAGTGGGTTTTTGTCAAATGAAGGAAGAAAGACAATAAAATACACATACGATGGAAGACCAAATCGCTACAGAAAAACTAGAATAACTTATGTGAACAGAAGAATCGGAAAGCTTCAATTAAGTGCATGGAATAAAAATCATGCCATTCTAGTTCAAAAACCTTAATAAATTCTAATTTAAATGCATATCAGCTTTAAGTTCTTCATTATTTAATGTATAGTTTTCTTAATTCTGAATTCCCAATTTTCTATTTCTAATCACTATGTTATTCATTTATACGGATTCTTTGATGATTAATATATCACTTTGCCAAGTGCTGAGACTGCAAGGCGAAGGCCATGCTTCAATGCACTTAGCTTTTGGCCTTTATTTGAAAAAAAATGGAGTGCAAGAATAAAATGCAAATATTATATTTTTAATTTTGCAAGAGTTGAATATTCAGGAAATCTCCTTAGGAAATTTTTTTTCTTCAGGAAATCTGGTTTTAGGTGACATTCGTGTTCTGTTCTCGTGCTGTGTTTATGTCTGTAGTTCTAAATTTTCTTATCCATATCAGGTACCTTTGGCATGGTTGACTACACAAATTATGAAGACATGAAGTATGCTGTAAGTTTCTTATCAACCTCACTATCTAATGGTTTTAAACACTTGTCTAGATGCTGCTATCTACTTCTATTGTTGAGGAGTCCAAACCCTACTTGCAAGGTTACTTTTCCCAAAACCTTAAGTTCTTGGTTTCATTAATATTTTGAAGCATGGTTTTTTTCTGGATTTTAACAATTTCCTCAAATATGAGTAATTCTTGTGTTCTAGTTTCAGTACTCACAATTGTTTAAAGGGCAAAGGTCCAAATATGCCCTTGTACTATACGAAATTGAGCACATTTGCCCTTCGTTAATACTTTAGCTCAAATATACCCTTACCGTCACATAGTTGGTCCATATATGCCCTTAGAGTTACACAGTTGGCCCATATATGCCCTTTTCGAAACGGAATTCACTCAAACTAATTAGCTCTTTCGTTAATTGTATTAAAGTGTATTACAAACACTATTTCCTTTTTATTAGTACTTTTTTCTTTACCTTTCTCTTTTCTTTCTTCTTTTTTCTTTTCTTCTCTTTTTTTCCCTTTTTCTTTCTTCCTTATCGGTTTTCTCCATTACTGATGTCTTCTCCATTTTCGTCACCAATTTCACTTGACAAAACTCATGAATTCCAATTACTAAGAAAATTCTCCCATAAGGTAATCAAGTTCCAATTTCACTAGCCCTCTAAATAAACGAAATTAAATTGTTCCAAAAATTATGGTTTAAACTTTAAAATAATAAAAACATCTCAACCTTTAACAATACTCAAAAGACCAAAATATTTAAATTGTTTCCAGAAAGATAATTTAAAGATTAAAAGCCTAGAGTTCAAGTTGTAATGTTATAAATTTGAGTTGTTAGTCTTTTTTCATCTTTTTTCAGCTGGACATTTTCTATTTTTTTTTTATTAACTATGTAAATTAGGGGTGTAAATGGAACGGGTTGGTTCGGTTTTTATCAAAAACCAAACCATTATATCGGTTTGGATTGTTCGGTTTTGTTGGATTCTTCGGATTTTTTGTTACATAAGTATTATTTCAATCTTACTTTGTTAAATTTTGTAGAACTAAATATATGTTGAGTAAAAATTAAAAAAATTGACAAACATATGATCTATTAAAATATTCTTATGTGAGAATTTTCTTAGTAATTGGAATTCATGAGTTTTGTCAAGTGAAATTGGTGACGAAAATGGAGAAGACATCAGTAATGGAGGAAATCGGATAAGGGAGAAAGAAAAAGGAAAACAAAAAGAGAAGAAAAGAAAAAAGAAGAAAAAAAAGAGATAGGTAAAGAAAAAAAGTACTAATAAAAAGATAATAGTGTTCGTAATATACTTTAATACAATTAACGAAAGAGCTAATTAGTTTGGGTGTATTCCATTTCAAAAAGGGCATATATGAGCCAACTGTGTAACTCTAAGGGCATATATGGACCAACTATGTGACAATAAGGGCATATTTGAGCTAAAGTATTAACGAAGGACAAATGTGCTCAATTTCGTATAGTACAAGGGCATATTTGGACCTTTTCCGCTGTTTATATTTTTAACTCCATTGATAGTAGTTAATTTGTAATTTCATTATTTCCCTTTGGAAAATCCAGGCTTATGGCTAACATGTTTTCTTCTCGTTCAGATAAGGAAACTTGATGATACTGAGTTCAGGAATCCTTGGACAAGAACCTACATCCGGGTATTTGTCTATCTTTGTTTTTCCTTATGCTACCATTTTTTGGTTTTCCTTCAACCCGAACTCTTGGGAACACATCCTTTAATTCATGTTTAATCTCGCAGCATATTTAAGGGGGATGGTGGTGATTGCCTGATTGTATGGGTGGCTTTAATATTGGTTATCTTGGATTCTTTACGACACAATAATCCAGTGAACATGTATCCCTGAGTAGTAGTAGCAGGGATGTTTGTTTTCACAATGTAAAGTGTTAATGCATGNCCCCCGTATAGGTGAGAGAATACAAGCGCAGTCCTTCAAGAAGTCGCAGCAGGAGCAGAAGTCCAAGGAGGAGTAGGAGGTATTGATGTTCCAGATAATAAATGAGCTTGTTTATGCACATTCCTTTTTCTTTTGATGCCTTACCAGGAGTATCTTCTGCAGCAAATCACCCGGCCGATCACTTTCGAGATCACCAACGCCAAAGTCTAGATCTGCGTCTCCTGTTAAGCCAACCAGGTACATGAGATTGCATTGCTACGTAATATTATTGTCGTAGGTACTAATTATAGCCTTTTGTTTTCTATTTTCAGTTTAGCTTTTAAACCCCCGAGCTTTTCATTTGCGTTCAGGTCCAGATCAATTTCAAGGTCTAGGTCTAGGTCTATATCGAGGTCATTGTCAAGGTCCAGATCAGCATCACCACGGCAGGTTAGGCTATGTTTTTGTATTTAATGTTTGATTTTACGTCTGGTAGAAGCTTAATTATGTCTTGTTGCGGACAGTACTGATCAGAGCTTTGGATGCTTTATATTTGTCCGTGCCTTAAGACCTTTCTAATGTTTGCTTAATATGGTCATATTTCAGGCACGATCAAACAGTGGCTGATGCTGATGCAAGATTTGTTTAGTGGTGTACTCCTCTTGGAAGGAGAGTCTAAAACTTTGTGCTTAGTTTTGGTTAGGATATGCTATGGACTAGAGCTATGTATTAAAGGCAGAACCTTTGGAGGTCCCTAGTAATGTGTGTTCTTATCTGAGAGCTGCAGTATCCTGTTCTCTCGGCTGTTAGTAGTCTATGGTCAATAAGCGTGTATGATCTATTTTTGCAAGTGGTTTTGCTTCTTAATGGGGTTCTGACTATCAAAGGTGGACATTGGCTTCTTAATGGGGTTTTGCTTTTCGAAGTTGGCATTTGTTGAAGCTTTTGATGTTCCTCCTAAATACTTCCTCATGATAAAGTACCAGTTAGTAACATTAAGATCGGCCTTGAATGAATATTGCAGGATGCAGTCTGTCTTATCGGCTTACAGGTGGTGCTTTATAAAAAATGGGTGTAAGACACGTCTGTTAATTTAGTTAACTACATGGGAAAAAAATTAGATGGAGACTGGTTTCGACTATAAATTGATGCAAATTCATAATAGGGGACAGATGATTATTGGCATTTCTTTTTCTTGACCAATTCGATTGTATTAATCCTGTGATTATCTTGGCATTTGTTATAAGTTGGATGGATATAGATACACCGAAAGGTTGATAGATTTGAATTCAAGCGGTACAACACATTTGATGCATATTAACTACAAGGACACGACAAATATAATCTAAGGAACGTTGATACTTGTATAGTTCTAATTTTTTCGGATGTCTCCGAAGGGAATCTTCTAAACATTGATAGTTGCACCAGTTTGGAAAATAGCAGAATAAATATTGAAGATACAAAAAATGATTATAAAAAATGTTATGAAAGCTATTTCTGCGTAAAACCGTTAGATTCGTGGCAACACCTAGGCTACCTGTAATCCGTAACGTACGCCTTGATTAGGCTTGATCTCACCCTAATATTTCGTACCTCTTAATTTACCAGTCTTCTATATAGTAACGTCTTTTCCTTGTCAAATCGATTTTGCTGTATTTTTCTCATGCCTTTCCAGTTTCAGATTTAGATCGATCGTGCAAAAATGTCATCAGTTGGGGAACTTGTTTGTACCTACGCTGCATTGCTTCTCTACGATGATGGCATTCCCATCACTGTAATAATCTTTCGTTACCCGCTAATTAATTTTGCTTACATATCAAAACTAATGTTAGTTACATAATGTTTTTCATATGGAACATGGAATTTTAGGCTGAGAAGATTGCTACGGTGGTGAAGGCAGCAAATATTTCAGTGGAGTCCTATTGGCCGAGCCTTTTTGCGAAGCTGTTTGAGAAGAGGGACGTCGAGGACCTCATCTTGAATGTTGGGATAGGTGGCGGTGGTGCAGCCGTTGCCGTTGCTGCGCCGGTTGCCGGAGGTGGTGCTGCCGCTGCTGCTCCCGCCGCTGAGGAGAAAAAGGTAAGAAAGTCACTATATAATTATATATGTACAAGTTTTTTGATTGGTAAACAGATGACAAAAACGTTAATTTTTTTTTTTAGATTATGACGTGTGTAATTGATTATGTGTTTGCAGGAGGAGAAAAAGGAGGAGAGTGACGACGAGGACTTGGGATTGAGCTTGTTTGATTAGGAACTTCCTTTAATATGCAGCATAGTGCCAGTGCTTATTCATGTTTTGTTTTATCCTTTTTCCTCTGTTTTCCTTTCCCTTTTCACAAAAACTTGAGTCCTTGACTTGTGATATGAGGGATCAATTCTTTTTTCTCTGTCATTAATCAACTTCTTTCATAGGACATTTATTTGCAATACTAGTTTTCGCTTTTATGTGTCGTTTGATTGGGAAATAAGTTATTTCAGCATTAGTTATTTCGAGATTGTTCTCCCACCTTTCCATATGGATAAAAGTAACACTATATCGCAGTTTTATCTCAATTAAATATGAATAAACTCATCCCAAATTTAATCCCCGAATTAATTATATATCCCTTGTCCCTCGTACAAACGATCTTACTGGTTACGCTGGACATTTCCTTGGATGCTTCCTTGGATTCGGGGGGAGCAAATTTTTTTGAAGAGACAAGACTGGTTCCTTTCTAGCACCCATCCTTTTGTACGGAGTGTAAGTACGTTCGTGAGAAACTTTATGTTTTCTACTACCAACTCCATAGCCAAACTAATTACGTACCATTTGTTGTAGGGTTATTGTCAAACTAATTACCGTTTGTTGTGTTGCTGATTAGTATCTATCATGGTCAGGTTTATCCCAAGTTCTTTGTCAAGCAAATTGATAGGTCAAATTCAGTAGATATCACCTTTGTTGACACTAAAATGGTGCGTAAATATTACTGTGATTCATGGTTTTTGACATCTTTTACATGAATATTTGTTATGTATGGCTTTTGATTTTGTCATCTGTACATTAATAACCGCTTAGTGGTTCTACTACTGCAATAGATTCTGCGAGTTATGCTGCTAGTGATTTGGTACACTAGGGTGTCCTATCTCAATGTTTGTTGCACAGTGCTTGGAAGTTATTCGTACTCTATTCCTAGAAATTATTCCAACTCTATGTTTTAGCCATGGTAACTGCGGAAGACCATCTAAATGAGTTTTGACGAACAGATTTACATTTTACGTGCTGATGAGACCACCATTTAAGAAAATAAATAAAAGGCAGATATACTTTATCTGACTCTCACCAGGTTTTATTAGTGTATCCAGCTCCAGATGAGAGTTAAATCCCACTTGGAAAATACATATTGCTCTTTGACAGGAGATGCATGTTTATAAGACTATTTCAAAGTTGGGAAGGGAAGATAATCCACATAATTACCACGATTCATTTTGTGGTCCTTTTTCCATTTGTACCAAACTATCTTTCATAACATTTGTTGTGGTTCAACTCCTAAGCTAACATTAAACATTAGGCATTTATTCTTTCAGAGTACCAATTATTGAACAAGAGGACTTATCAAAACTCGGATACTCCAAATATTTTTTTTTTTCGCGACAATACTACTGTTAATATTATCTGCATGTAAACAAAGTAGTACTTGTTATAAGTATATTATATTATGGATGTCCATTTAGTACTCCGTTGTAAATAAGCTTCCTGAAGAAGCTTATCCATATTGGACTCCACCGTAAATATGTTTATATATTTAGTACTCTATTCACTACTAAAAAATCAGGTTTTAGCGACGGATAAATTCTGTAGCTAAACAGAAAAATTCGTCGCTAATCTCATTTAGCGACGGATTAGCGATGGATTATCAAAAAATTCTGCTAGCTACGAGCTTTTTAGCGACAGATTAGCGACGGTGTTCGTAGCTAATTCCATTTTTTTTTGTAGTGATTGGAAATAAGCCTCATGAAGAAGCTTATCATTTCGGCACTCCGTTGTAGATAATTATTACTCCTGTAGAAGATTATCTATAACTGGTACAATAACAGCTTACAAGAAGCTTACACAGCAGCTTGCAGTAGGAGCTTACAAGCAGCTTATACAGCAGCTTGCAGTAGCAGCTTACACAATAACTTCCTTTCTTCTATAAATAGAAGAGATTTCAGTTCATTATGTACATGAGTTTGAAGTTGAATAATATATCAATCTCTCTCTATACTTGTCTTCGATTTATTTACTTTACAGTTTTTATTTTATAACACGTTATCAGCACGCGACTCTATCATATCGAGCACTTACTTTGAATTTAGTTTTTCTATTTTAGGATAAGAAGTAATTCAAAGTCACAATATTGATGGAACTAATAGATGGTGCCCAACATAGAAAATCTGGAAGAAAAGCAAGTCTCTACCTCGTTGGAGAAATCAATGGCTTAGCTTGTGTATTTTCAGCTATTATGATTATTTGGTGCCGAGCCGAAGCACCGATTGCTTGGAGTATCAAGTATTATTTGTTTCATTAATTACTCATCTTAGCTATTAAAAGTGTTATAAAGAGCAATCATGTATATCATGTAAGAGAGAAAATTTGCATCGGTGCATGCGTATGGCTAATGATTGAAAGAGATTTGTCACCTCCAAAAGGTGATTTTTTTAAATCCATCCAATCTTTCTATTATCACTAGGAGTGATAAATATTTTGAGAGGCATCAAATTTGCTCCTGCAGAGCATCGCTTGAACTCCAGTAGAGTTCATGAAAAATGTAAGATCGCTAGAAGTGATTATATATTTTATATCGTCTTATTGTAACTAAATTTTGTTAACCACCATAAGTGGTATATGCCTATGACCACTAGAAGTAGTAATTTAGGCTTTTTATCGTTACAATAGAAGATAAGCTAGAGAAATATTCTCTATATTACATGCATGCCTCGATTTACTCCTGAAGTAGCATTATCTTAAAAGAGGTTCTAAGACATCACACAATTTGGTGTGATTAATGCACGTTCAGATAATTATATTTTGTTCCCTGAAAGATGAGAACTTTTTGATAAATATTAATCTATTCCCCGAAGTAAATATGATAATATTAATAAAGCTCATAAATATGAACGCGCTCTTGATGTAAATATATTACAATTCACCTCCAGAAGAGGTAATACGATTGAGAGAACATATATTTAACATTTTGTATTTTAAATTTGCTCCGAAAGAAGTAACACAATTGAAATTTTCTTATGAAATAGGAAAATATTATGAAGAGGTATTTTCTTGTGCTTAAACAATTGTTTTATATTTTTTATTTGATTATGATTTTCTTTCATGATACCAGAAGTGTCTGAGAAATATTTGATAGTATAAAATGTATCAACAACTCCTGAAAAGCTAACTGTTTGTCTAAAAGACACATGACACCAATAGTGTCCAATAAATATTAGATTGTGGATAATAAATGAAGGTTCTCGGAGAGCTTATATACAAATATGTCATTCATATTATATGATTATGGTCAAAACATATGTTGTAGTAAACGTGAAGTTTACTAATACAAATGGCTATCATATTGAGACTACAAATGATTGAAAGATTGAAAATCTTCATGTTTCCACAATCATAGGGGATAAAATAATATGTATGTGAGAAGTGACTCGCCTTATTCTTCAATTTGTACTATAATGTATCACAGTAAACCAGAATTTTACTAATGCAAAAGCAGTCACAGTAAATCAAAAATTTTACTGAGGCAAAAGTAGCTACAATAAATCAGAAATTCGCTGATACAAAGTAGCCACAGCAAATCAAAAGTTTACTAATGCAAAAGTTTATGCCATTGTAAACGAGAAGGTTACTAAGAGATAGCATATAACATGATAAACTTGAAGTTTTCATTTGCCATTTTTAAATGAGCTATTTGAGAATTCAGATAAGCATATACTGAAGAACTAGAAGATTCTTCAAGAATTCTCTTGTGTTGCTTGTTCTCATAATAAATTGATTATACCAGCTAAAGTTGGGACTAAGACCCCTGAATTCTGGAATATATAAAAGGTGAATATGGGTTGATTAACCTATCATGTGAACCATTTATAGATGCATATATGAGATGGTTACATGTGTGTTTATTGTCAACCTACAGTTTGGCATTTGAAATTGCTTTTCTCAATTAAAAGCATAATTTTCAGATTATGAAATCAAGATAGTTCATCTTGATGATGCTGGTTTATATCCAAACTAGTTTAGTATTGAATACCTCATATTAATGGCTAAACTATTGCTTATGAGAACAAAGCCTCTTGTGTTAGCCTAAGATCTTCTAAATTGCATACAACAGCACTTGTATACATCAACCAACAAAATATGATAAGTTCTCCCCTCATAATTGGTTTAGGATCAAAAATCAAATATTTTTACTATCTAATAACTTTTGATATGTGGTATATGGTTAATTTCTCTACCACAATGTACAAAGATAGGTTTCCCAAAGAAGATTGAGGATATGTGTTAGTTTTTCTAACATTTGGGGGATTGGGGATTAGATATGTGTTAGTTTTTCTAATATTTGGGGGATGGAATAAACAGCTGAAAAATATGCTATATGAATCGAATTATCATTAATATGATCCTTACTTAGAAGATAATTCAAGTCAAATGCCAAAAGCATTTGTTGATCCAAAATTAAATATCATATTTCAGCCGCAAATGCTCCTATTAAAATTAAAATTCCTGAAGGATAAAGTTCACTGCATGCATGAAGTGTAGTAAACCTATCGGTTCCAAAGATAACAATCTTTGAAAAATGATAGGAGCAAATGATCAAAATGATAATAATGAGAAGGAAATGAGCTCTAGAAGAGCCCACAACATAATATTTTATGAAACTCCAGAAGAAGTTCAGGTATCTAAAAATAAAGAAAGTGATGAGATCTTAATAAGTTATGTCGCTTAGGAACCGATACAAAATGATCGTCGATGATATATTTGATACAATATAATTCACAATATTGTAAAAGATTGTGAAAATCGGACATGTAGTGCAGACACCTGAAGATGTCATGCCATCTAAATGCAAGTCATAACCTATATGACTCATTTGATTAAGTCTATATGAAGATCCCTGAAGGATTTATAATGCCTGAAGCATACAGTTCAAAGTATCTTGAAATGTACTCAATCAGATTACAAAGATCTTTGTACGGTTTAAATCAATCTGGGTGCATGTGATATAATCGCCTCAGTGAATCTGAAAGAAGGTTACATAAATGATGTTATTTGTCCATGTATTTTTATAAAGAAAATGACATTAGAATTTGTTATACTTGTTGTTTATGTTGATGACATAAATCTTGTTGGAACTCCAGAAGAGCTCCAAAAGGCAATTGAATATCTTAAGAAAGAATTTAAGATGAAAGATCTTGAAAAAATAAAATTTTGTCTCGGTGTGCAAATTGAATATTTAGC